AAACTTAAAACGTTAACTTGCTCAAAACTGGCTAAGGGGCTAGCCAGTATTTGAACCTAGCTTACGACTATAGATGCCATGTGTGCTATAGACTGGTTTAAAACATTCATGGCAGTTAACAATTGAAAGTTCTTTTCTTGTCATTTGAGTGTGGTTTTGTTCCCTTCTACCTAGGACGTTTCCTTGATTGTTTCAGTGACACATAGTGTACTGATGATTTGAAATTTTTGCCTGTGTGTTGAAAATATGGATTGTGGTCTCTGAAGACAAGATAAGGACAGACAGGAAACAGTCTTGTGGTACTAGTCTTGTGTGGGGGAGGTTGAGAGTCTGTGGAGGCATTAGAATAATGGTTGCTTGGGAAAGCTACAGCAGGAAAGCCCATGAGAGGATCTTGTCCCACACTTTGCATCAGAAGTGTGGGACTGGTAACATAATTCAGTGGCCAAGTGCCTAGCATGAATTATGCCCTGGGTTTGATACCCAGTACCAGAGAAATAAAACAGTGTGACGATAGTAACCTAGAGAAGTTAAATTATGTAAGGTCATACACATGGCTGTTTGCAATGGAATGGCAAATAAATGAGAATTTGGGGTGTTGATGTGGGATGGGGAAAACCAGCCCTAAGAATGTGAAAGAAAAAAAAAAATGTGAAAGAAGGGCTGGGAAGGTGGCTCAGTGGTAGAGCGCTTGTCTTGCATGCCTGAGGCCCTGGGTTCCATTCCTCAGCACTACATAAGCATAAAGAAAAAAGCCAGAAGTGGCGCTGTGGCTCAAGTGGTAGAGCACTAGCCTTGAGCTGAAGAGCTGAGGGACAGCGCCCAGGCCCAGAGTTCAGGCCCCACAACTGGACACCCCTCCCCCCCCAAAAAAAAAAAAAAAGAATGTGAAAGAAGGCACTGGGAATGTGGCTTAGTGGTAGAGTGCTTGCCTAGCATGCATGAAGCCCTGGGTTTGATTCCTCAGCATCACATACACAGAAAAAGCCAGAAGTGGTGCTGTGGTGCAAGTGGTAGAGTGTTAGCTGCAAAAGTCAGGGACAGTGAGTTCAAGCCCCAAGACTGACCAAAAAAAAAAAAAAAAAGAATATGAAAAAACCTGCCCCAGCTGTAGAATGGAATAGCAGGCTTGCTCTAAACCACATCTTTATTTGCACTCAGGACCTGAATGCAAATAAAGTAGAAACAAAGAAAAGTGAAAATACAAATAAACTTCCCAAATTCCTTTCCTCCCTTTTCAGGTATGGGCATCACATTGGCACTGTAAACTCTTCTTACAAAGCTAGTTTTTGATACAGAAAGGAGACAGAGCTTAGAGGTGAAGATTTGACAAAAGAAAAGTTCCTTCATTACAGTATTATGGGAAAAGCTGATGATGCAGGCTTGGGGCCATGGCACAAGTGGTGGAATATCTTCCTAGGAAGCATGAGGCCAAGTTCAAACCCACTACCACAGGGCTGGGAAGGTGGCTCAGTGGTAGAGTGCTTGCCTTGCATGCATGAGGCCCTGGGTTCGATTCCTCAGCACCACATAAGCAAAAAGTAAAAAAAGCCAGAAGTGGCGCTGTGGTTCAGGTGGTAGAGCGCTAGCCTTGAGCTGAAGAGTTGAGGGACAGCGCCCAGGCCCAGAGTTCAGGCCCCACGACCAGACCCCCCCAAAAAAAAAGAGTTTCACACTTTCGTGTCCAGGCTGGCTTTGAATCATGATCCTCAAATCTCAGCCTCCTGATTAGCTAGGATTACACGTGTGAGCTACTGGCACCTGGCTCCCTTAGCCTTTTTGTTCAAGGCTAACATTCTACCACTTAAGCTACAACTCCAATTTAGGTTATTTTAATGGGTAATTGGAGGTAAGACTCTCCCAGAGTTTCCTGCCTGGGCTGGCTTCAAACTATGATCCTCAGACCTCAGCTTCTTTTGTAGCTAGGATTGCAGGTGTGAGCCATCAGTCCCTGGCTTTATTCAAAATCACCAAACCCTGTGTGGAAATGATTAAAGATGGTAACTTCCAAATGCAAGGATGGAGAGCTTCTGGCTGGCCCCTTCAGGACAGAGGGTTGTTAGACCGTTGACACCAGCATGAGACTATTGATTGACATCTCCGTCAGAAGCTGGGATTGTCAAATGTAAGCCTGACCACTGTGTGATTTCTTAGTAATGCTAAAAAAAAAAAAAGGTTAAGTAAAATTTCTAAATGGCATTTTTTTGGGGGGAAGGGGGTCGGTAATGGGACTTGAACTTTGGGCATGGGCATGTTCCTCAGCTCTTCAGCTCAAGGTGAGCGGTCTACCACTTGAGCCACAGAGCCACTCCCAAGTTCTGAGTGACTAATTGGAGATACGTATCTCACAGGAACTTTTCTGCCCAGGCCAGCTTCAAACTTCGATCCTCAGATCTCAGCCTCCCAAGTAGCTAGGATTTACTGCCATGGTAAGGCAGGCTACTCAATGGAGAGTCATAGTAACTGGGTTTCACATTGGGGACAGAGTTGGACCTAACTGATTCCAACAAGGCCAAAGGGAGGCTCTTATCAAGGGTGTGGGGCAGGGGGAGGGAAATGGATGGAAAATTACTAAGGAAATAGAGTTTTTTTTTTTTTTTGTCAGTCGTGGGGCTTGAACTCTGGGCCTGGGCGCTGTCCCTCAACTCTCCAGCTCAAGGCGAGTGCTCTACCACTTGAGCTACAGCGCCACTTCCGGTTTTCTGGTGGTTTTATTGGAGATAGGAGTCTCACGGTCTTTCCTGCCCGGGCTGGCTTTGAACGGCGATCCTCAGATCTCAGCCTCCTGAGTAGCTAGGATTACAGGCATGAGCCACCAGCGCCCGGCAGGAAATAGAGTTTTTTAACTTGACAGGATGCACCATGGCAAAATTTTGTCAGTAAGCCTGTTTTATTTTTTGGTCAGTCGTGGGGCTTGAATTCTGGGCCTGAGTGCTGTCCCTCAGCTCTTTAGCTCAAGGCTAGCACTCTACCATTTGAGCCACAGCACCACTTCCGGCTTTTTCCTTTTTGCTTATGTGGTGCTGATGAATCGAACCCAGGGCCTCAGGCATGCAAGGCAAGCGCTCTACCACTGAGCCACCTTCCCAGCCCAGCCTGTTTTATTTTTTATTTTTTGGTCAGTCGTGGGGCCTGAATTCCGGGGCTGAGCGCTGTACCTCAGCATTCTAGCTCAAGGGGAGCACTCTACCACTTGAGCTACAGAGCCACTCCCGGTTTTCTGGTGGTTTATTGGAGATGAGTCTCACGGACTTTCCTGCCTGGGCTGGCTTTGAACCTCGATCCTCAGATCTCAGCCTCCTGAGTAGCTAGGATTACAGGCATGAGCCACCGGCGCCCAGCTTTATTTTTTATTTTGTCTGTTGTGGGGCCTGAACTCTGTGCCTGGGCGCTGTCCCTCAGCTCTTCACCTCAAGGCTAACGCTCTACCACTTGAGCCATAGGGCCACTTCTGGCTTTTTCTGCTTATGTGGCACTGAGGAATAGAACCCAGGACCTCATGCATGCAAGGCAAGCACTCTACAACTGAGCCACCTTCCCAGCCTCAAGCCTAAGTTTTATAAACCATGAAGCTTAGGAGTAAAAATTTGTGTGTGCTGCCAGTCCTGGGGCTTGAACTCTGGGCCTAGGTCTAGCACTTGAGCCATAGCTCCACTTACAGCTCTTTGGTAGTAATTGGAGATGAGTCTTAAGGACTCTGGGCTGGCTTCAAATCACGATCCTCTGAATTCAGCCTCCTGAGTAGCTGGGATTACAGGCATGAACCACCCACTAGTGCCTTGCCAGAAAAGTTTTCTGATGAAAGCTGATGGTTATATTACTTAATGTGTTGAGAGGCACAGAGGGGTCTAGTCTATGAGGTCTTATCAATAAACCAGAGTGGTTTTTCATTCAAAAAACCTATTTACTTTACAGTTATATGATGCTAATAACATTTATGAAGGTACTGGCCATGCTACATGTTTTCAGCTACTATTTAGTATACATGGCATACATGTAACCCACAAGTAAACAGAACGACAAAGGAGCTTCTGGTGGAGAGCCTTCTACTAAGCCTTCTACTGCATCCTGCATGCATGCGCAACACAGCTTCCCCACAGGCCATCAGCTGCTCCGAAGGCACTAAGCAATAAAATAATGGGCTTTCGTTATTCTCTACTCTTGTCAGGACTTAAAAACTCTTACAAAATATAGGGTGACAGGTCAAGAGAGATTTGTGTTTTTTGCCCTACTATTTTATAGTATAATTTCTAGAAGACATGGTAGGTAATGTCTTTTTTTTTTGGGGGGGGGGAGAGGTCTGTTTGTGGGGCCTGAACTCTGGGCCTGGGTGCTGTCCCTCAGCTCTTCAGTTCAAGGCTAGCGCTCTACCACTGGAGCCACAGCGCCACTTCTGGCTTTTTTCTTTTTGCTTATGTGGTGCTGAGGAATGGAACCCAGGGCCTCATGCATGCAAGGCAAGCGCTCTACCACTGAGCCACCTTCCCAGCCCATGTCTTATATTTTTTAGAGAAAGGCTTATACAACAGATTTACAACTTTATGAAAACCAGGGATTTATTCTTTTTTTTTTTTTGGCATGAGGCTTGAAGGGTTATTGGATAAATACTTGAATGCTTGACTCTAGAAAGTTATTATTTTAATGAAAAAATACGTGTTAATGATCTGAGTACAAGCAATAGCAAAGACTAGAAATTACAAATAAATCAGAAAATAGTAACAAGAGGCTGGGAAGGTGACTTTTTTTTTTTTGGGTCCGGTCGTGGGGCCTGAACTCTGGGCCTGGGCGCTGTCAGCTCTTCAGCTCAAGGCCAGCACTCTACCACTTGAGCCACAGTGTCACTTCGGCTTTTTCCTTTTTGCTTATGTGGTGCTAAAGAATCGAACCCAGGGACTCATGCATGCAAGGCAAGCGCTCTACCACTGAGCTACCTTCCCAGCCCGGAAGAAAGAAATTTCAGTGTGTATGAATTAGTAAGAAGAATAAGGAAACAAAAATGATTCACTGTAAGCCTTTCATTTACATATACTCGAGCTCTACTTACAATTATTTAGCTTGACAAAAAGATCAGTTATCAGTTTGGGTTTGGGCATTTGAGGAAAAACAAAAATCACTGGAGGCTTTTGCTCCCTTTACTTCATCCTCTGCTACTCTTCTGCCCTGTATAGAAATACACCTAAAACAACTCATTAAATTTCATGGCCAGAAATATTTTCACCCATGGCTAATGAATGTTTTCTGGTCTATATTTCAAAGCAAACATCCCCAACAGTAAAATTTTATTGGAAGGTAGCAAATAGCAAACATATAGATGGACACACACACACACACACACACACACACACACACACACACACACACACACAAATGGTCTAAGTAGCAAAGAGCTGTGCAGAACAGGAAACAAAATAGAAATTCAGCTGGAACAGAGATACAGGATTCATTTCTCTTGCTGAGGCTCAGGTTTCTCCTTAATGGGTCTTTAATGGTCCACCTTAGTTGATGTGTTGGAGCATCCCTTTTCTTTATTAACCAAACATGCCAAGGTACAGTTGTTTCTCTTTTGTATGGTAGCTGTTGAGTTCTGTCTGTGTCAGCTGGAGGTACCGCCGGACATTGGTATCTTGGGAGATAATGGAGAAGGCAATTAGACAAACCATAATCATATGTTAGGCAGGGGAGGGTCATTAACACACTCTCATTTATCTTTCCAGAATCTGAATATATCACAACAATAAATTCCATTACTTAATATCACTCTGAATTTTTTTTTTTGTCCGGTCATGGGGCTTGACCTCTGGGCCTGGGTGCTGTCCCTCAGCTCTTCAGCTCAAAGTTAGCGCTCTACCACTTGAGCCACAGCACACTTCCGGCTTTTTTCTTTTTGCTTATGTGGTGCTGAGGAATCGAACTCAGGGCCTCAGGCATGCAAGGCAAGCGCTCTACCACTGAGCCACCTTCCCAGCCCCCACTCTGAATTTTTTAGTCACTGTACACAGCATGGCTGATTGCTAACTTTATAATGAAAGGGATTTTTAGGAAACGGTGATTACAGTACCTAAAGATGCTATCTGTGGGCAGGGGATGTGGCTCAGTGGTAGAGTGCTTGTCTAGCATGCATGAAGTGTTGGGTTTGATTCCTCAGGATCACATAAACAGAAAAAGCTGGAAGTGGCATTATGGCTCAAGTGGTAGAGTGTTAGCCTTGTGCGAAAGAAGCTTAGGAACAGTGCCCAGGCCCTGAGTCCATGCCCCAGGATGGGCAAAAAAAAAAAAAAGATTTTATCCACATTGGTGGCATCTTTTTTTTTTGGTTGGTTGTGGGCTTGAACTGGGATCTAGGCATTGTCCTTGAGCTCTTTTGTTCAAGGCTAGAATTCTACCACTTTGAGCCACAGCATCACTTCTGGTTTTCTGGTGGTTAAATGGAGATGAGTCTCAGGGACCTTCCTGCCTGGGCTAGCTTCAAACTGAAATCCTCTCATATCTCAGCCTCCTGAATAGCTAGGATTAATGTGTTTTACAGAGAGGTTACTGTTTTCATAAGTCAAGTAATGAGTATATTTCTTTCTTTTTTCTTTTTTTGGTCAATCATGGGGCTTGAACTCTGGGCCTGGCCGCTATCCCTTAGCTCTTCAGCTCAGGGGGAACACTCTACCACTTGAGCCACAGCGCCACTTCCAGTTTTCTGGTGGTTAATTGGAGATAAGAGTATCACGGACTTTCCTGCCCAGGCTGGCTTTGAACCACAATCCTCAGATCTCAGCCTCCTGAGTAGCTAGGATTATAGGCGTGAGCCACCAGCACCCAACTATGGGTATATTTCTTTTTGGACACTATCACCTTTTCCTGTGCTTCACACCCCTCTCTCCCCCGTTTCCCTCTCCCGTCCCTGGCTATAAGTTGCCTAGTCTATTTTCCACATAGTGTTTACTGATTGCACTTATTCATCCTTTTTTCCTTTATTTATGTGTCCCTACTTTCCTCCTTCAAAAGAAAAAAGCAACAAAAACAACAAAAAAAAACACAAGAAAGCAAAAACAAATACCACTACCACCACCACCAACAACAAAAACCAATGTGTCCCTTTCCCGAAATTCATTTAGATAAACAGTCATATTTTATATTTTACTAGGCTAAAGTGGCTTTAACATTCATTTAACTTAGTGAGGTTTTACAGCACTTCTATGCTTGGGGACCCTCTGCTTCTATCTTCAGTAACTGCTCTAAGCCAGCAAGGGGGAAATGGGGAGACAATCCTTAATACTGAACCAACTAACACAGGAATACGCCTACTGTCCACTTCACACTTTAAAGGCAAAGTGCAAATCTCAAATTCTCTCAGTAGGCTGCTTCTTTTTCTAGGTCGCACCTGGGGCTAGCAAGAGATAAAAGACAAAATGACAGCGAAAGTAAATGCCAGTCCCCAGCCTGAAAGCAGGCAAATGACAATTACCCAGTTTAACCGGGTAACATCCTATTTCCAGACACACCTTTAAAGGGTAGGAAATGAACTTTGAAAACTAATGCTTCTAAAATTCCTGTCAGGCCCAGTTGGGTGGGCATGGAAAAATAATTATGGGATGTGCCTTTCAAAAAGGGTACAAGAAAGCCTGGTGCTGGTGGCTCACGCCTGTAATCCTAGCTACTCAGGAGGCTGAGATCTGAGAATTGCAGTTTAAAGCCAGCCCTGGCAGGAAAGTCTGTTAAGACTCTTATCTACAATAAACCACCAGGAAACTGGAAGGAGTGCTATGGTTCAAGTGGTAGCGTGCTCGAGTTGAGCTGAAGAGCTGAGGGACAGTGGCCAGGCCCAGAGTTCAAGACGCACGACTGACAAAAAAAAAAAAAAAAAAAATCTCATGCACTTTCCTGCTGGGGCTGGTTTGGAATTGAAATTCTCAGATCTCAGCCTCGTGAACAGTTAGGATTACAAGGGTAAGCCACCAGTGCCCAGCTTGATCATTTCATAATGTTGACAGCAGGACAGATATTTGTCCTCACCACTTCAATTCCCCTCTCACTCACCTTTAGGCTGCCTATTCACAGCAGCCAGGAGGTAATGCCGAGCCTGGTCATAGTCCTGCAGATGGAAAAAGGCTACTCCAGCTCGATACAAGGCCTTGGCATTATCAGGCTGTCGTTCCAGGACTTTCTGACTGTATTCCCTCACTCGTTCATAGTTCACTGGCTCCATCTGAAGGAGACAGGCTAGTGGACAAAATTAAAGGTTGAATGAAGAAGGAGGAGAGGCTTATTCTAACAGATTCCATAGACCACTTCAAGGGCATCCCCAGTGTTCACTTACTCAACAAATACTCACGTGTCTCCTAGGTGCCACACCCTCTATTAGGTACTGGAAACACAGCAGTAAATAAAAGCCATACATACTTGAAATCTACTTCAGTATTTACCAATTGCCTTTTGTGTACATAATGCTATGTGTTATCCTAACTTCAGAATGAAAATATATGTCATCTTCATTACACCAAGGCTCTATTTTCAAACTCTCCCATCTTACCAGTTGTGTCAGTCATGGGCCCGGGTGCTGTCCTTGAGCTTTTCAGCTCAAGGTTAGTGCTCTACCACTTGAGCCACAGCGCTACATCTGGTTTTCTGGTGGTTTATTGGAATAAGAATCTCACGGACTTTCCAGCTCTGGCTGGCTGGCTTGGAACCTTATTCCTGAGATCTCTGCCTCCCGAGTAGCTAAGATTTTTAGGCGTGAGCCACCGATGTCAGCTTCTTGTCATTTTCTTTTCTTTTTTTTGGTGGGTTGTGGGGCTTGAACTCTGGGCCTGAATGCTATCCCTCAGCTCTTCAGCAAAAGGCCAGCATTCTACCGCTTGAGCTACAGCCCCACACCCAATTTTCTAGTGGTTTATTGGAGATAATAGTCTCATGGACCTTCCTGCCTGGGCTGGCTTTGAACCGTGATCCTCAGATCTCAGCCTTCTGAGTAGGTAAGATTACAGGTGTGAGCCACCAGCACCTGGCTTTCTTGTCATTTTCAATGACAATATCTCACTATCCTTGGATGATTTAATAAAGGCTCAAAATAAAACCCTGGCTCAGAGGCAATATCCAAATTCATTGTTTCTTATCTTTGAGCAGGGAAATATGCTCCTTATTTCACAACTATTAAAATTAAACATACAAATATTCTATCATGGTTCTGAGATGAACCAAGGTTCAGGGATGATGAGAACAAAAGCCTGGGCTTATATGTGCTTCCTTTCTCCAACACTCCTACCAAGTGCTCATAGAGTTTATACTGAGCTATTTCCCCGGCAGTCAATTAATCCACCTCTCTTACTAGCTTTTCATTAATTCATTTGACAGGAATGAAGCATTAATCTGAGCATGTGCAGACACTGAACTAGGAGCAAAGGATGAGAGGAACAAGAGAGCTCTTCATGCCCACCCCACTCCAGGTGGGCTTAAACTCAGGGTCTTGCACTTGCTCAGCTTGCTTGTTCCACTTGGTGCTCTACCACTTGAGCCATACTTCCAGCCCAGCTATTTGCTAGTTATTTTGGAGATAGGAGTCTTGATAACTTTTCTATCTGGGCTGGGTTCAAACCATAATTCTCTGGATCTTGGCCTTCTGAGTAGCTAAGATTCTAGGTATGACCCACTGGTGCCTGGCTAAGGCAAGACATGTTGATAATTAACACAGATTGTGCTTCCTAGTCTCCAAGAGGAGAATGTACAACAAACATGAAATTTTGAAAGTTTTACCTGAAGACAATAAAACTGGGTTGGGAGAGAGAGTAAATGAAGTCAGACTGCTGTTTGGTACTGAAGGCTTCTCTAAGAAAGTTACTTTTGGAGGCCCAAGCAGGACAGTCCATGAGATTCTTATCTCCAATTAACCACCAGAAAAACAGGCTCACGTGGTAGACCACTAGCCTTGAGCTAAAGAGCTGAGCTGAGGGACAGCGTCCAGGCCCAGAATTCAGGCCCACAACTGACCAAAACACACACACACACACACACCCCAAACACAACTGACCAAAACACACACACACACACACACCAAACAGTAGAGTGCTTAACATGTGTGAGACCTGGGTTGGACAGCCATAGTGAGTCTAACCATACACATGCATACATACTCTCAAGTGACTTTTAATCTAGCTCTCAATAACAAGGGTCATTCAAGGCACAGAGCATTCTAGCTCAAGAGTAATTGTTAGCTCACACAACCTAGGTGGAAATATGCTTTGTCAGCATTTAGTATATAGAGAAGCCAGGTCTAATTAGGTACTGCTGAAGAGGGTTAAAGTTTAGATTTTTTTTTCCTAAATATGATGAGATGCCATCAACATGTTTTAGGCTGTGATATTTTCTGATTTGTCATCTGTAAAAATCAGAATAATCATTACACATTTTGTAAAACATTCATGACAATAAACACTGTAAATAAACTGCTCACTATGTTATAAGCACTCAGTAAATGAAAATTGCTAATTTAGTGAGTCTTTATGGAACATCTATCAAATACTCCCAGAGATTCTGGAGAGGGCTATGTCACGATAATCCTTGCCTTCAAGTCCACCTGGAGAGTCAAGATACTTACACATATTCCCAAGTAAAGCATCTTCTTTCCTTGCTTTTGGTCAGTTCCTTAGTACATATTCTATTCTTTAATAATGTACAGTATTGCTGGATGCCGGTGATTCATGCCTGTAATCCGAGATACTCAGGAGGCTGAGATCTGGGAATTTCGGTTCAAAGCCAGCCCAGGCTGGAAAGTCCATGAGACTCTTATCTCCAATATACCACCAGAAAACAGGAAATGGCACTATGACTCAAGTAGTAGCCTTGAGCTGAATTGCTGAGGGACAGTGCCCAGGCCCAGAGTTCAAGCCCCATGACCAAAAAAAAAAAAAGTAAAAAATTCAAGCTCTGAGCCATGTGCTGGTGGCTCAAGCTTGTAATCCTAACTATTTAGCTAGATCAGGTAGAAAAGTCTGCAAAACTGTCTCCAAAACAACCAGATAAAAAGCAGGGCTATGGCCGGGTGCTGGTGGCTCATGCCTGTAATCCTAGCTATTCAGGATACTGAGATCTGAGGATCATGGTTCAAAACCAGTGTGGGCAGGGAAAGTCTGTGAGACTCTTATCTCCAATAAACCATTCAGAAAGTCAGAAGTGGTACTGTGGCTCAAGTGGTAAAGTACTAGCCTTGAGCTGAGGATTGAGGGACAGCACCCAGGCCCAGAGTTCAAGCCCCACGAAAAAGCAGGGCTATGGGCTTAGCTCAGGGTTGAGGATGAGCAAGTAAGTAGAACATCTGTGAAGCCCTGAGTTCAAATTACCGGCTAGAGGAGGGGGGAAAAATAAGGAATTCAAGCACTGAAGTTAAGATTGACTGGTTTTAATTTTTATTTATTTATTTTGGCCTGGGGGACTGTCCCTCGGATCTTCAGCTCAAGGCTAGCAATCTACCACTTGAGCCACAGCACCACTTCCGGCTTTTTATGCTTATGTGGTGCTAAGGAATCGAACCCAGGGGCTCATGCATGCAAGGCAAGCACTCTACCACTGAGCCACCTTCCCAGCCCACTTCCAGCTCTTTTGTGGTTCACTGGAGATGACAGTCTCACAGTCTGTCCTGCCTGGGCTAACTTTGAACTGCGATCTTCAGATCTCAGTCTCTTGAGTAGTTAGGATTACAGGTGTGAACCAAGTGCCCAGCTTAGAAACAGATTTCAATTCACGTCAGAATAAACTGGATTGTAGCAGACATGAACATCTTGTTTGTTGTCTTCTCCAAAGCTCACATTTAATGTTCCTCCCTTAATGTTCTCTACCCACCCTTCAGCCCTGTTCTTACCAGCCAGATTGTTGTAGCAGTCTGTCTGGGTGGTGTGCAGTTCGTTTTCTTGTTCGGGTGTTAGAGCCGGGCCCTGTGGGCCTAGACTAGGAATCGGGGAAGGCAGACTCGGGTCTAGCCCTCGCAGCTGAAGCAGAGCTCGGTGGTACCGGCTCACGGCATCCCGGTACTTCCCTTCCCGGTAGCGCTGGTTCCCTTCCTCCTTGTACAGCTGAGCCTCCTGCAGGCGCTTCTCCATAACGCTTGGTGGCCCAGGGCTCTTATAGAATCGGAAAGGGAAAAGAGCAAATGAAGCTCGGGACTGGGATTGAAATAACTGTTTCTCGGGCAGCTAAGGAAGGTGGAAAATCACCGTTCTCAAAAAAAAAGGGGGGGGGGGCGGGCAGGTGAGCTTTAAGGGCTTTTCTACAGCCCCTGTTTCTCCTCTTTACAGTATTTTCAGACTTAAAAAGTGCAGGAAACTAGTTAAAGGGGATGAGGAATAGTCAAGCCAAGGACTAAGTTGGGAATCACGGGATAAGGAGACTTTGGGGGGAAAAAACAAGGCCCGAACTGATGATTAGAGGCCGCCGTGCTAAGGTCTGCAAAAAATCGGCTTCCTCTTTTCTCAGCGACACACCCCCCCACCCCGACCCGGAAGTGAAAGCCGGTGGTACAACCGCTACCAAAGGAGGGTTTTACTGCTTCCTAGCTCTTTATTTGTCCTTATTCGATATTACATTTATTGATGTCGACTTCTGTGAGCTGGGGAACCGAGGAGAATGGGATCCGTGTCCTCAATCTGAAGGCGAGGTGGAGTCTGCCGCAGAGGCACTCTGGTTTTGGGCCCTCAGCACAGGCCCGAGCCCGGAAGTCTCTCGGGCTTCAGTTTAAGGGCCGGAGCCTGGACAGGAAAGGGTCACACGTTCCACAGTTTGGCATCTTAAGGGTCGCGCGCATTGCGCCCACGCCGTCCAACCAGAAGCAGCTCTAGAAAAGTAATCCCCCAGAAACGACCCCACCTGCCCAGCGGAACAACTCTCCCCACCCACCCCACCGAAATAAATAAATAAGTCCCAGCCGCTTCGCCAATTGGAAAAAAAAACCCAAAACCCTGGCGAACACGCTTGACCAATCAGAGCGCCAGGCGACGATTCAAGCTGGCCAATGAAAAGGCGAAAGGGCGGGATCAGGGCGTCTGTTGCTGGGTAGAACTTTAGATGTTAAAAGGGGGCCACCAGGTGTTACTGTATTTCTTGGTTCTGCAGATCCCTTTTCCAGTAGGTACGAAAATGCTTTACTGGAAGGCTCTCAAATTGCAAAACTTGCCATCCGGCTTTTCTTTTGTTTTTATTCTCCAGAATATTCTACATTCACGCAGAAAAGTGAGGGCATGGCGCGAGCCCTAGGATTTCGCGGTAATTGAAAGTGAGCCGGAAGTACTGGTTGTGAGAGGGTGGGAGGCGTTCTTCCGTGCGGCTGCGCAGAACGCCTGGCTGAAGTACGGAAAGTCGGGCGCGCACTCGTTTCCGGGCTACGAGGCACTTGAGCCACCGCCAGCCTTCCCCGCGTCAGACCTCTGCGAGGCTGCGCGGTAATACTGCAGACGCTGATTGGTCCGGGGAGGCGAAAGGGGTGGGGCGAGGGAGGGAACTCCGTCGTCCTCTGCGCGCGCCCGTCCTCGGTAGGGAACCCGGGGCCTGGAAGGAAAGCCGTGCTGCGTTGCGTTATTTAGGGATCCCGGAGCCGAAAGGGGGAGGGAAAAGGAAAGCGACCCAAACACTACGCTGCGGGCACTGCTCGGCCTTCGCCGCTGCGTCCGTGCGTGCACTCGCTCGCGCGGGCTCAGTACTGGCGCGTGAGGCGGAGGCGGGCGGCGGCGGCGGCGGCGGCGCCTGCGCGGTCGGACTCGGTCGACGGTTCGCAGGGGAGGAGGCGGCGGGAGGCGGAGGAGGCGGCGGCGGCGATGGAGGTGAAGCGGCTGAAAGTGACCGAGCTGCGGTCAGAGCTGCAGCGGCGCGGCCTGGATTCGCGCGGCCTCAAGATGGATCTGGCTCAGCGGCTGCAGGAAGCTCTGGATGCCGAGATGCTTGAGGACGAGGCCGGTGGCGGCGGGGCCGGGCCCGGCGGGGCCTGCAAGGCGGAGCCTCGGCCTGTGGCCCCGTCGGGCGGCGGCCCGGGCGGGGACGAAGAGGAGGACGAAGAGGAGGAGGAGGACGAGGAGGCGCTGCTTGAGGACGAGGACGAGGAGCCACCCCCTGCTCAGGCCTCGGACCAGGCCGCGCAGCCGCCGCCGGAGCCCCCGGAGGTGGCAGCCATGGAGGCCGAGCCCGAGCCCGATACTTCCGACCTGCCGACCGAGGCCACGGCCGAGTCAGGTGGGGTAAATGGTGGCGAAGAGCAAGGCACCGGCAAGGGGGAGGAAGACGAGCCGGAGGAACGGAGCGGGGACGAGACGCCAGGATCCGAGGCACCGGGTGACAAGGCCGCAGAGGAGCAGGGTGAGGAGCTGGCAGCGGAGCCTGGTTCCGTCCTGCCTCGTGCGCCCGTGAGCCGGCACCCCGCCCTGCACCGCAGGGTTCTAGCCCTTGTTCCCTCTTGCCCCAAAGTGCATGATTCCCGTCGCTTGCTGATGGGACTCCCCAAGGGAACATCGCTTTCTTTCTCTGCCCATTTTTCCAAGGGGTCTGGCGGCCTCTGTGGCTTGGCTCTTTGCAGGAGAGAGGTCTCTGCTTAACTTGGTTCCATGCTGCCGGTGTGTGGAAGTGAATGGTTTGGCATGCGAGCTACCTGTGGAGTATTCTCTTCCGGTGCTTGCCCTGGTTATCTTACCCAAAAATGTGCTGAGAAATTGGTGATTACAGGGACCGCTAGACTGACAGTTGGAGGATTAGGCCTTAGGGCTACCTGACTGTTGACTTTCTCACTGTAATAAGTATGAAGCAATAAACAGGGTCCGGCAAAGTCCGCTCTGCCAAAAGCACATTGAGCCACACAGAAAATCTGGACGTCCTACTTTAATCTTGCTTGATCGGCAGGGAACAGCGTCTAGTGTGAGCTTGTTGGGTTTAATGGTTAACTAGAGAAGAGAAAATATTAGTTTAGTGCATTTAGAATAGTTTCTTGTCTAGTATTAAATTTTCATCTTCTCACCGAGTCAGTAGATAGGTGCTACCTTTCCCTTTGCAGATATTCTGACTTCCTGAGTTGAGGTTCTGGAGGGTTCAGTTAGTAACCTTGTGGCAGGTGTGTAACGATGCCCGCAGAGAATTGGTGATCTTCTCTTTTCTTTTAAACTGATTGTATAGCTGGTCCGTAACAGAATCAGAGTAGGTTGGGAAAAGGGAGTTACCTCCAAATCTTTAAAGAAAGTAAGTTGTGTTAGTTATCTTTATAATGCTTTTTCCATTGTTATTGAGTATCAACGTGGTGTAGTTGGAACGTGTTTTACTATGGTCTTATAATGCATCTTGTCTTATGTCCTGGAACAAAAATCCTATTACATAACTTTTGACTTGTCTGTATCCTAAATAGATAAGAAACTCGGAAGGATAAAGCCCTGTGGGACTGCTTTAAAGAAATTATTAGTGTCACCAAATAGAAAAGCTTAGGGGAAAACTCCTGGGCATTTTCTTCTTATAGAGAAGTTACTAAATATATGACAACACTTTTCTGCCCCAAATTATGTGCCGTAGAGTTGCAGGATTATTTACAGGTCTCACGTGACAATGGTTTTCTTGCAACTTTCAGTTTAAAAATTCCTGATAAAAATATAGCTATCTTGCGCTTTTGTTCATTTGCCATAATGTATAAGTAATAGCCATTGAATGGCTGTACATTTTAATGAAGGAAAGGCAGACTCTTAAAAATCTGAGACATCTGTATTACAAAGTTGTGGCAAATTGTTAGAAAATGTGTCTATCTTATATCCAAATCTCATAAGAGTTAAATTAACCTGTGCAGGTTTTCAGAAGACCTAGGGGATATTTTTTGTTATTTTAATGGGATAATCTACAAGTTTGACCTGATTTACGTAGATAAATTTAGAATATAAAATTGCCCAGTTTTTAATCTGCTGCTTGACTAATTAGCTAATAACACCCCCCTCCCCATAAAATTCCAGCCATTGATAAGAAAATGACCTTTGGAAATAAAATTTTTAGTGGATAAATGAAAATAACCTGACCGTTTTGATTAGATACATAACTTAGATCCCCTTTAGTTTTTATTGATTCTGAGCTTATTCTACACTCCAGTATAAAAACTGCTGATTTTCTTTCCCTCCTTTTTGTAGGAGATGACCAAGATAGTGAAAAGTCAAAACCAGCAGGCTCAGATGGTGAGCGGCGGGGGGTAAAGAGACAGCGGGATGAGAAGGATGAACATGGCCGAGCTTACTATGAATTCCGAGAGGAGGCTTACCACAGCCGGTGAGGGAAACAGTCCCTTTTCCTTAAAGGGAGTGTCTGCTATGATTTTGGTAAACCTGGTATTGACTGGATAGTCTGGAAGGAGGGGTGGATTGAAAAATGGAATAGGTTTTTATAGGCATAAGTTTTAGAGTGTGAATATACCATGGAAGCTCCTATTGCTTTATTTGTTGAAAGAAGCTGTCTGCTGGGATTTGATATTCACTGGTAGTTTAAAATGGACATGATACCATGCAGATACCGCCCCCAAAGAGAAGGGCCTTTGTTACATTCTATTTGCTTTTCTTTCCCACTGCATATAGCTCAAAGTCACCACCACCTCCAGAAGAAGAGGCAAAAGATGAGGAGGAGGATCAAACTCTTGTGAACCTGGACACGTGTATGTATAAGGCAGATAGATTGTTTGGAGGGGTTTTTGTTTGGTGTTGAAACAGGGTCTTACTATGTAGCCCAGGCTGGCCTAGAACTCATCGGGTAGCCCAGGTTGACCTCCTTCCTCAGCCTCTGGAGTAATGCCTAAAAGTGATTTTGGAAGTTAGGCACTGGAGGCTCACACCTGTAATCCCGGATGCTCAGGAGGCTGAGATCTGAGGATAGTGGTCAGAGCCAGTCCAGGCAAGAAAGTCTGTGAGACTCTTATCACCAATAAACTACCAAAAGAGCCAGAAGTGGAGATGTGGCTCAAGTGATAGTACTAGCCTTGAGCAAAAAGCAGCTCAGGGACAACACCCAGGCTGAGTTCAAGTCCCAGGACCACCACCACCACAAAAAAAAAAAACAAAAAACAAAAAAACCACCACCACAGTGATTTTGGAGATTAAAACTTCTTGGCCTGAAAATTCTAAGAAACTTTGTATCAATTCTGGACAACTATGTATGCTTGTCCTCTGTTGGCAGGTTTCAATTGTGGGAATCACATGGTTGACCAATTGAATTTTTCTTTCTAAACAGATACCTCAGATCTCCATTTTCAAGTGAGCAAAGACCGCTATGGAGGGCAGCCACTTTTCTCAGAGAAGTTCCCCACCCTTTGGTCTGGGGCAAGGAGTACTTATGGAATAACAAAGGGGAAAGTCTGCTTTGAGGCGAAGGTAAGAGGCTCATTTAAACTATTCAGTTTATCCATGAAATTATACACTGGACTCCTGTTGATTAATATATGTAAGTTTAGGAAAAGGCATTAACTGTAAGA